GCAGGAATGGAAGAGAAAAAAAGCTCATACTAACATAAGTCATTTTGGGAGCTCTGAGGCACATCTGGTTTCATGGCTGCTTTTTCTTCTTCCAGATCTGGCTTATCTGGACTCTGTAGTTCTCCAACAGAGAAATCTTGAAAAGGACTGACCGGTTCTTGCAGTTGGAAACAATGGCCCATGTAAGTTGGTGTTTCTTCTTCGTTTTTGAAATATTGCCAATTTCTAGGCCATGTTTCAGGATGAGGAATGATTATTCCTCATCCTGAAACTTCCTATTTAACAGAACTCCATCCAAGAACCCACTCTAGTTCCTCTCACTCCTGTGAGAGTTGGGGACAAATAGCCCAGTGTCCCCTATGTGCCCCCTTCCCTTTTTTCCACTACTGTGGACCATCTCCTATCTACAGAATCTTCTGTCAAGAGCCCTCAAGGAGCAAAAGTGAAATGCCTTGAGAAGAATGTGGGTATTCTCTGCAGAATGTCCCCCCGTTAACATTTTTGATTTTAGCTTTTGATTTTAATACCTAAGCTTCAGAGAAAGCATATTTCTCTGAATTACAGTGATTTGGGGTCTAGTTTTATATGGGAAAAACTTACATCCCCAATACACAATTTGACATCTTTTAAAAGTTTTTTTAACTTTGTATTGCTGTATAACGTACATAGAGAATAGTGCACAAATCAGAAGTGTGCAGCTGAATGAATTTTCATAAATTGAATATATCTATGCTATCAGCACTCGGGTCAAGAAAGAGAATATTACTAGCATTCACATGTCCCCCTTTCAGTCACTTTCCCAGTCCAAATGTAATTCTGACTTTGAACACCATACAATAATGTTGCCTATTTTTTAGAACTTTATGTAAGTGAAATTGTATAGTTCAATGTAACTTTTTTTTAAACAAAAAACAATGTGTAGGAAGTCTTGTTATATTCCAGATACAATTGCTGGATCATCAGAACCATCTGCAGATGTTTTGAAATGCATGCAGATATCATTAAAGGGGATGTGTATAAGTGGTACTGCTGGTGATAAGGGAGGCCTCAGAGCATCATACAGAGTGTGAGTCAGGCCTGCCATTATGTTCTCCTTGGAAGCGCATTTGCAAAGTGCACTTCACATGTAGCCCCTGTTTTTGTCATTTTGTAAAATGAGTTCCTAAGAAGTTGGAAAAGTATTGAAGAAACTTGTAGAGAAAGAAGCAAAGCAAGTGAGGAAAAGAAAATTTGGTAAAAGAGACAGTGAAAGTACTAAAGCCAGAGATATCATGTGTGCACTGACCCATGTGTACTCTAATTCTGTCCTGGGGGAAATGTGAAGCTAGTTGGAGAGTTGGAATTGATATATAATGCAGTATAATTCTTTGCTTTAAAATGATGGGAAAATAGGCACCCACCCAAAATGGTGGGAAAATAGTGTTAGAATGTCTTGATTTTCAGGAATGGATTATTAATATTAAATGGGAGATCCCTGTTTTGAACACTCCTTGATGATCTTGTGGTTTGATGAAAGAGAGAATTTGGTCTTATTTGACTGCTTATAGGGAAAACTCCACACTTCTCCACAGACCTGAATTTTTTAAGTACATAAGATGAGATTTAGTATTGGCTGGTCTTAGTCCCTGTATGCGTTGGGATCTTATGGTATGTAAGGCTTTTAGGATTGGGTGGATTAGGTAGGGATATGATTGCGGCCTTGTATTGTGAGGCCTAAAAGTTCATATGCTGCCTTGATATCTTATCAGACCTAACCAAGAGTTCCCCTGCTCTCCCCAGATGTGGCCCCCATGCAATGGAAAAGACTCTTTACCTGGCTAGTTTCCCTATCAGCCAGACCAGCTAAACCCCTCTTATTCCTCAACCTAATAGGTTTCACCTCCTTGCCAGCCCACAGAATTATTCAAACAAGCCCATCACATCCTCCTGCATTGGCCAGGGACCCCTCATCCTCTTTTTACTATAAAGCCTGCCTCCCACAGATCCTGCTTGTTCACCCTATTCCTGAGTGCAACCCCTGTGTGGCCCTGCATGACATGTGGTGTCTTCCTCTCCCGGGCTGTGAATGTATGTGACTAATAACCTGCTGTCAGTCTCATCTGTCAGGTGTCAGACATTCAGTCATCTCATACCATTTAGGGTGAGGGATCCCTCCTTCAGCAATGGGGTGAGTAGGAGGTGATTGGAACAGAACTGCAAACAGAGAGGAAGAATCATCTCCAGGAACCCCTGAGAGAAGGATACTAGGAGCAGAGTCCATCGTGTAGTTTTACAGGATGCGCTGGTTTAGAGCAGGGTTTCTCAACCTTGGAACTACACTTGACCTTTAAACAACGCAGGGATTAGGGACGCTGATCCTTTGTGCAGTTGAAAATCTGGCCCTCTGTATATGCCGTTCCTCCATATCTGGAATTCCTTATAATATGCAGTTCTGCATCCACAGATTCAACCAACCGAGAATTGCATAATACTGTAGTATTTACTATTGAAAAAATATATGTATAACTGGTACCACACAGTTCAAATCTGTGTTGTTCAAGTTTCAACTGTATTAATATTTTGAGCCAGAGAATATTTTATTGTGGGGGATTGTCCTCTGCATTGTAGGATGTTTAACAGTATCCCTGGCCTCTACCAGTTAGATGCTTGTAACACTCACACCCCTTCACCCTAGTTGTGCCTATGAAAATTGTCTCCAGACATGGCCAGTTGTCTTCTGGGAAGTAAAATCACTCCTCATTGAAAACCACTCGTCCAGGGTGATACCTTTACCATTTGGTATCCTCTAACTCAGGAATGAGGAAAGGTGTTCAGTGAGGGATGATGGATGATAAATAGTAAGAAGATCATCCAGATGCGTAAGTAATAAAGTAGAATGTGAGAGTTGAGGAAGATTTTTGAGACTGTATTGAATCCAGACATCTAAAGAGAGAGGAAAAAAGATTGGATTTAATACATTTGAAATGTGGACTGCCATGTAGCAAATTTTTAAAAATTTACTAAAGAATTGGTCATAACAGGGAAGATGCTTATAATAAAATGTGACTTTATGGTGAACTTGAGTCTATTTTCTTAGAGATTTTGTAGTACATTTCATTTTTATCAATGTTTTTTCATGATCAGTAAAGGGGAAAGAAGGTAGAAGACCTCATATTTCTTAAGAATTTGTGGTGGAGATACAGTTTGCAGAGGGTTTGTGTGCACTGTTTCATTTAATTGGAACTTCTTTTGGTTATTTTATTCCTTTCCAGATATTTTTGGGTAAAAATTTAATCTTATCTGCACTCACAGGACTGTTGAAGACATGTAGCACTATGCTTCAGTGATACTAATTTTCTTACTGTCCTTACACATGTCATAAATTTGCTTTCTGTGTGCTCCCTCCCTCTCTGCAATGCAATCATTGAAATCTCTTTCCATTTAAAAAATATTTCATTTATTCACAAGTTATACATGAGTTTTATTTTTTCAGGGTTCAGTGACATTCAGAGATGTGGCCATAGACTTCTCACAGGAAGAATGGGAATTCCTGGACTCAGCTCAGAGGGACTTATATAGGGATGTCATGTGGGAGAATTATAGCAACTTCATCTCACTAGGTAAGGCTATTTATCCCCAATTGTACTGGCTTTCTCTTCTGTCAATATCAGAGCTATGTTTTGAGAAACTAGATGAAATTTTTCTCTCTGTTCCAAAGGAATGGTTCAAGCTTTGTTAGGTTGGAAGTAGGCCCCTCCTTTTAACACTTCATCACTCTCAGGTTCAGCA